AAATCGCACATATTATATTACCAAAACACTTTACAAATCATTTTAGCCATCATCTATTAGAGACACACTCTTATTAAAACAAAGATCAGAAATAACCCACATACCAATTACCAATTTGCACAGGGAGACTAAGAGCCTGAAGACGTTCCGAGATGAAAACATAAAAGATAATGCAGTACCACTCCATCCAGAGTGGCTGGTCACACATAACCGACAAAAAAACCAAGGTCGGACAAGCAATCAGAAGACTTTTAATCCCCCACAATGTTTTACTGACAAAGGTAGATTTCATGTACAGGGTAAGAGGCTAAGGCTTAGCGATCAAAGAATGCCTGACTAGATCAGTAACAATAGTAAACCTGAACGTAGTGAGAAAGAGAGGGGCATAGGGTGTACAAAGCAAGTGAGAAAGTGTAGTCGGAGAGAGGTTGCTGAATAGGTGGTAACCAGAGCAAGCCACTACACAACAATGTATTGTGCAATATAGTGTAGTATGTTACACGATTAAATACAATCAAATTCTTTACTTGAATCATAATGTCTCCCCGACCAACAGAAACCAACGAAGAAACAAAAAACAAGAAACAACTGAACAAAGTGTATTTCTTTAACTCCCAAGACAGGAGCTATGAAGTGAGGAACAGAGATTGAAAAGTGTGTACAAGGAGTCAGGAGGAGCAAGAACAATATCTAAAGTCTCTCAAGGATCTTATGCTGGTAAACAGTTATAAGTTTTTTTGAGTGACTTATTAAACACATATGTTGTAACTTAGTCCACTACAGAATAATAGCAGCATCTGCCAGAGACATAAGAGTCTCATCTAATTTTGACTACATAAAACTCAATATATAATCAATGATGGCCAGTTCCCAATTTTCCTCACAATCCATATACATTTCCACCATTCCTCTAGTAGTATAAGCACGGTCGTCAGATGTGTGGTAATATCAATATCAATATTATAGCATACACTCACAGTAAACTAATATAATAGACTAATGATCGAGTGTGATGATGCATATCATATACTATCAATATATAACCAATAATACATCATGATCTATAGATATCACTCAATTTATAAAAAACAGTGTAGGACTAAAAATGTCTGTTATCCTTAACCATAACACCTTTTAAACATTTATTTGATTCAAAGACCACTCTATCAGCTTTAAGTTAGGAACCAGGTACAAAACCTTTAACAACAATAATTACACGGTCTAAAAAAATTCTTGGCTATTAAATAATTCTAACTCAAATAACCTAGAAACCAAGTAGATACATTATAACTGGTCCCTTGCAGCAAGTAAGAACTCTAGTACATATAATACAGTCAAGCGAATTATTATATCGTACATTAATAATAAGTAAAATACTGCTTACATAAAAGGATTCTAACCACACATAAAATAACGAACTGAACTATATTCATATTCTTGCAACTGAGCCCAAGAGGAAGATAACTCATTCATGAAAGACTAGAACTTATTAGACATGATGGTATTTTTCCTCCTTTCGACAAAACCATAGGTATAAAAAAACCACAATACATTTTTATTTTAATTTATTTAGTTATTCTAATTAGGGACATATGACAGCAGAATGCATTTTGATTTATTGTACACAATTGGGGCACACGAATGTTTAGTTTCTTATTTGCATAAATACTATTAAAAATATTAAGTATGTATGTGTGTGTGTGTGTGTGTTATGAAAATGTTAAATTAAATTAGCAGGAGGCCATTAGTGTGAGGCTGTCTCCATATTTTTGGTTTCTAACTAGTGAACTACAGTCTAACGTCTATGTAAAACGAACCCAAACCTAACTTCGTAAAACCACTAGACAACTCTCAAGCAGTCATAGGTAGTCACATCATCCCCCAAAAAAACACATGCTTAGCTGTAACTCAACAGGTTAATTCTCTACTTTCTTCTGTGTTCAGCCTATAAATAGATGCTCACAGTTACCACCACTGAGCTAAGCTCTCTGAACCTCTTCTGGTTCTGAGTGCTGCCTATTCAGAATGAATCTTAATTCATTCAAATAAACTGTGCCAAATTTAATGAGACTAAAGTTTTTCTTTTAACAAGACACAAGGTTAAAAATCTCTAAATTGCTTTACCAGTTTGTCAGAAAGATTAAAAACTTATAAGTGTTTATATTATTAATAATAGGAGAATGGCTTATCTCTGCTGCCACCCTTAGGGTTAAGAACATTTTTGCCAGATCAGAGTTTTCTTGAAAAAGAGAAACATTGACAGGAAACCGTTTATGTAAATTGTCATATCATTCCTATAAAATGCCAACCTGCAATCTTTTAATGTCCTTAAGAAAATTTGGGCTGGATGTGTTCTGAAATCAATTAATGCATATTCTCCTTGACTTCCAGTCATTTTCTTGGTATTTAAAGCATACTTTGATGATTGAGTTGCTAATTCATGTTTTCCTTAGTGATGAAAGAGGCCAATAAATCACTACTAAAATTTTGATATCTATATCTTTTCTCTTATCTTTTACATGCTACTTTAAAGGAATAATACAATTTTGATGATTTTATAGCCACTAAATGAGTCAGGACTGCCTTTATCTAGAGAGCTGCTACAGTGATAACTAGCAGTTTACTTCCTGTATTTTATCTGATTGTACATATATTTTATATTACACCTTTTGAATACATAAAAGCTATCTGATACATATTCAAGATGTTTTTCATTAAATAAATCAATTAATTAAATGACAAATTATGACTATAGTACCCTTTCCTCCTTTTCACATGAGTAAATATGGATTCCATACACTGAGAACTTTAACCTTTAGACAAAGGACTTTATCAACCACATGTCTCTTAAGTCTTAGAATAACAATATATTTATTTCATTTTAGAACTAAAACATCTAAAGGAGAGAGAGTATGTCCCAATTTGCTCTGGACTAACAACTGAGACTGAGACATCCCATGTTCAAGATTGTTTCTTTATGGTCTGTTCGGTTACCACTAGGGAGCGCCATCTCATGGGAAACTTTTGGAATATAAACTGACCAAGGTAATGAATGAATGATTTCATAGTATTTCAGAGACATCAACACAGAGAAAATTTAAAGGCCATATTCTCATATGAGCATTATTTTATGGTCTGTTATATTTGCATGGATCAATAATAGGAAAGCTTTATATTTCATGTTGAAACAAACACAAAACAACTATATGAAGATTGCTGGTACGTTAATAAGTTTTAAAGATGGAGACATTTGTTGTCTTTGAAGAATGTATTCCTTGTTTAAAGAAAAAAGAATAGGCTAGGTCCCTTTTGTTAATGCTTTTTATGAACATATAACTGTGAGCTAGAAACGTGCACTTTTAATTTTAAAAGGTCGAATTGTAATATTTAATGAGTATAAATAGTCATGAAAATATATAAGTCCATATTTTATGTTTTCTTTAATCAAAATGTAAATGTAGGGACTTTTGCTTCTTCCTTATTAAAACCATACAAAGTATATAGTTGAGACACAAGTTAGTCAGAGGGCCCTGAGACCCATTTCTCCTGAAATTGGTAAAAATAGAAAAAAAATCAATTACAAGTGATAATTAACAATTGGTTTTCAAAATTATCTTTTACATTTAACTCTTAAGATTTTCACGTAGATTTGTAGAAAAATTAATAAATTTACTCATATTTTAATGTTTCTTGACAAATTTCTTCACTGTTCATAGAGACCTATCCTTTAAGAGCAAGCTTCTTTGATAATAACAGGATTATAGAAGTTGCAAAACATTATTTGAAAATTTTAATCTTGCTACTGCCTCCACTCCATAATGTATCACTGTGCCAAACACTGTGACACAGCCTAAATATCTATATATAATACCATGTCTTGCTCTTAACATAATCTAAATATGACAAAGACAGATTGAAGACATACCACAGCATTTTCACACTACAATTAAAGGAAATGTTCTCTTAGACCAATGACTCAGCTTTTCCCTTTATTGAGGGTTCTTTTCCTTGAGGCAATATGGGGTGTTGAAAGATGGTTTTCTTTTATAAGAGTAGAAGCATAAAATTGTAAATAAAATGATATAAAAGGAAATTTGGTATGGAGTTTTAGTGAATACAAAAAATGCAAAATGAACATTGAAAACACCAAAGCCAAACAAAAGCAACTTCCTCACCCCAAACAATAGGCATATTCTCTAGCTCTTTTAGAAAAGAGTCCAAACAGAATTGGATGATTTCCCCAAAATTACCTAGGCCCACATTTCCCTTGAAACTATTTATGCAGCTGTGGGTGGTACTCCAGTAGGGATAACAACAGTCACATGTGACTACATTCACATGCACATTAGCAAAAGTTAACAAATATCTTATTTACTATTTTAAAATGTAGAGACAGAAATGATGGTGAGAATAATACAGAAAACACTGTTTAGCAAACAGAATAGTCCTGGTACTAGCCTGAGGAGAAAAAAAATCTATATAGAATGGCAAATGGAACTAACTAAAGAAAAATGTGTTTTACTTCAAATCGAGTGTGTGTGTGTGTGTGTGTGTGTGTGTGTGTGTATCTGGGACTCTAACACACCTTATATGCACATGTTAGGGAAGTACTGTAACTAAACTACATCCCAGCATCCAATTCTGTTTTTATAAGGCAGATGATTAGAGATGATTGATTCATAGAACTGGCCCAAAAGTAGAAATAAGAGAAAAGGCAAAAAGATTCCCAAAGGAAAAAGTGACCTCAGAGGGCCTGTTGTGTGACATCCCAGCCACTGTGATCATGTAAGCCAATTTCCTAAAAAAGTCACCTGTCATGCATCTGTTGATATACTCATGTGTCTTTCTCTCTGGAGAAACTGACTAATTCAATGTCCAGTGTTAACAACCATTTGTCCCCTAAGAACTCTCTTGTGGTCCTGAAACTTTATGATGATTTCTTCCTAGGGAAGAAAACACTGGAGTTAACACAGACTCAATTGGATATTGAAGAGTACTGAGAATTTCAGATCTTGATGGTGAGACTTAATTATATTTATTAAGCAGAAAACCTTGCTAAGAAGACAAAAATAGCTTGAAGGAATGTGATCTAGTGTTATCGTTTTATGTTAAATATTCCAAACAAAATCCCATACTCATCCTTTATCTTTCTCAGGGGAAGATGGTCAAGTTGAGAAATGAATGAAATTGCATTAATATATACAAAGACTACAAAGAGAGCAAAGTTGTCAGTAGAAGCAACATACAAAATGTGGGAAATCTGAATGATATGTTTAATAATGACATTTAATCCTAACCTCTAAATACTCGAGTTATGAATGTCTAGGAGGCACCAGTGGCATTTTGGAGGCTATTTTTATAGTAGCCAAACCTAGTAATTGTTTCTTATTTTTAATCCCAAACTCTTAAAGACCGACATACCCATTATAATATAGTAAAATGGTAGTAATCAAGTATATAAAATCATTATTGTTCATTTTCCTTTATCCCATTTCTTAGCTATGGAGATAGGATACATTTCATCAGAATGCATGTAGAACTAACTATAGAAAACATTATGTTTCTTCTTGAGTCAACCACACTGTTCAAATATGTGCACAATGAATTTGCAAATCACAATGTACCCAAATCCAAAATATTATGATTATATTAGTAAATAAAATATCATTTATACCTTCCCACTTTCAATATCAATGTACTTTATACATAAGACTGGAAAGAATTTGATTGCATAATGTCAATTTCATAGTTTGAACCAGTATTTCCTTTGTGAAATGGAGTTTACCTGCAATTATAGGCATTTGCAACTTCCTTATTTCTGTCAAAATAAATAAAGTAATAAAAAGCCCTATAGTTATCTAGAGTAAGTATATTAAATGTGACCAGAGCAAAACATCTGTAAATTCCCACCAGATTCACTAACACATGAGAAAATCCACAAAAATGTATGAAATTGAATTTTGTTCCAACCTATGATAAACTGTTATTCATGGTTAAGTATTCATAATAGTAGTCCAAAAACAAATTTTCCAGCTTAAGGGCAATAATGCCCTGAGGCTCATGTCATAACACAGGAATCTCTTTAACAATGCATTTACAAACACTAAGCTCATTTACAAGTTCTCACATCCTTATTTTCAATTTGGCAATCTTTGATTCTGATATGTAACACCCAATTTTTAAAAAAGCATTTCTCTCTCTTATCGTATATAAATATGAGTGGTTTCAGTATCCTAATCCTATTTTTTTCTAGAATCTGTTTATTCCTCTGTCCTTTCATTTTCCTACACTTGTATAGGATGGCTAACAGTAACCCTTTTCTCTTAAACTCAAATCTATTCATTAAAAAAAGGCCAAAATCATCGAGGATGCAGAGGGAAAGGCTCACTCATTGCTGGTGGGACTAAAAATTGATGCAGCCAATCTGGAAAGCAGTATGGAGATTCTTTGGAAAACTTGGAATGGAACCACCATTTGACCCAGCTATCCCACTCCTCAGTCTATACCCAAGGGACTTAAAAATAGCATACTACAGGGATACAGCCATATCAATGTTTATTGCAACACAATTCACAATAGCTAAATTGTGGAACCAACCTAGATGCCTTTCAGTAGATGAATGGATAGGGAAAATGTGCTATATATACACAATGGAATATCACTCCACATTAAAATTAGAGAACAAAATAATGGCATTTTCAGGTAAATGTATGGAGTTGGAGAATGTTACGCTAAGTGAAGTAAGCCAATCCCAAAAACCCAAAAGCCAAATGTTTCCTCTGATATAAGGATGCTGACTCATATTGGGGATGGGGTGGGGCATGAGAGGATTAGATGAACTCTAGATAGGGCAAAGGGAGGGAGTAAAAGGGAGGGTAGGAAAGATGGTGGAATGAGATGGACATCATTACCCCAAGTACATGTCTGAAGACACTAATGGTGTGAACCTACATTGTGTACATCCAGAGACTTGAAAATTTCGTGCTCTCTATATGTAATTAGAATTGAGTTGCATTCTGCCATCATATATAACAAATTAGGATAAATAAAGAATTAAGAAAAAAAGGCCAAAAGCATCTGAAAATTTCATTAAGCCTTCTGACAGGCATGAAAAGCATATATATTTTATTATAAATTCTTTTTCTTTTTCTTTCTTTGTATATTGGAACATTATTAATATCAAAAATTGTAAAATATGTTTAGTATTGTCTTTAGATATAGTCAAGCAGGATCATTGCCCCTTGAAAATATCTAAATCTCCTTTTTGTGGCTAGAAAATCCTGGGGCCTGTGATTTTATCCCAGAAATGTACTCTAACATGAGACCAGGACTTGTGTTGCCCCCAGTCTCTGTTTCCACCACTGGCCTGCTATTCTACTTCCTAATTCTCATCTGAGGTATAGACATGCCCCAAAGTATGGTTATTGAATCTGCATCTACAAATTGTCTCAGAGCTGTCGCAGAGCCTCAGTTCAAGGTGGGCTGCCTGGTTGGTTGGTACTTATTTTTTACAGAATCAAATGATGATGGGACACTAAAAGGTACTTACCTCTTGATTTTAGGTGCAATAAATGCTTTTAATGAAAAGGGAGCAACACTCAAAATAATTATTTTCTCAGGGCTTTGCACCCTATAAGGGAAGCCAAGGAAATTCTTAAATAATTTTCAGAATAGTAAAATGGGGTTTAAATTTTTTGTGATAAGAAGTAAATGTTGATTCTGGTAGGTTTGAGGATCACTGTATCTGACTAAGCATAGGAAGGCATTTCTTCTTACCTCTGCAATATTACTTGAGATCATAGGAAAAGTCAGATGGAGGGAAGAAGTTTCTGAGTGTAAAGTATTTAAGGAGCATATAATCACTGCTCTTTTCTTTTTGTCAGGAATTCTAGCAACTCTTTTTGTGAATGGAATCCTGTCTTGGAAATTGACAAAGCACTCCCTACTAGGGACAACATTGGCATCTGCCATTAGAATCTAATTTTGTGTTTGAGCATCCCTATGTCCAAAATGTAATTTGAATTAACAAAATATGCCTTGAAGCAACAGGGAGAGAAAAGCAATCCAATCTCCCTAAGATAAATCTTGAAGAGTTAAAAAACAAAAAGAAACAAATAATAAAACCACAGTATCAAATAATTCCACGTGCAAAATATTTCTAAGGTCTCTGCAATTTTGGTAAAGAGGAATGAAACACTGTGTATTTACTCATTAAGGATGGATTATAAATTAGATGGTATTTAATGATTATTTTGTCAACAATTATCACAATTAAAATTAGCAAATTAATCAGTACCTATGATGTATATTTGATATCTATTATTTGTTTATATTATAAATGAAAGTTTTAATTGATTGAATTATCTCTGCCCATTTCCTCCAGCCCAAGTTTGTGGCAGCCAACATTCAACTTTCTAGTACTCTGCGTTCAAATTTTTGAAATTCCACTTTGTATATGCTTCTAAAAGTGTTTTATATGGTATGAAATGATGATTCATATCTTCAGCAAAAATCAGTAAGGTATACTTTCAAATTTTACCTTAAGTATTTTATTTTATTTTCCGGGCTGCAGCAAAATAACAGGGGGGTGATGAACAACTTGTGTATGTTGATACAGCAGGAGTGGAAGCCCTTTATTGCAGGACAGGAGCAGTATTTATACATTCCACACAGCTTATCTAATTAGCATAAACTAGATACAGCAGTCAACCAATCAGGAATCTCCACACTTAATGGCTCGCTTTTGTTACTTCACAAACCACTCCCTCTGGCATTTTGCCAGGCATCATCCAGACTTGTTTACAAACTCTAACATTCCCCTGGCAAAATGCCAGGTGTTATTTTGACTTGTTTACAGACTCTAACAATTTTATTTTCCAATCAGCAAAACTTAAAAGAATATGCTACTTGGTAATGAGACTAACAGGTCATCCACTGCTTAGTTTCTAATTTTATTTTTGATGATTTTGCTGTTGGAAGCTATTTTATTGAAAAGAAGATTTTGTGTAAGACAGATTCTTGTTATACTTTGCCAAAAATACCATATAATTAAGAAAAGTGAAGTGTCTTTTTAAATTTTCTAAATGTTTTTATGCATCATACTTAAAGATAATAGTGTGATTCATTCTGATATAATCATACATGCATGCAATATAATTTGCTTTAGTTCATCCCTAGTACTTCCTTTTTCCTTCTCCTCCTCCCTCTCTCTGTTCTCTTTCCTCTACTCTACTCATCTTCCTTCTATTTGTTTATTTTTATCAGTGCATTATAATATACATAGTAGTGTATGCACCATATGCATACATGTACATAATATAACTTAATAAAACATTTGAAGTGATGTTCAAAAATACAAATTTTTACTGAATCAAAATTGCTGAAGATGTGAACTGGATGTTATCATATTGAAGGAATTTATCAGTTTCAAAGATGATTCTTTTTACATTTTATGTATTAGTGCATTATAGTTATATTTATCAGTGGAGTTCATTTTGGCATAATCATACAGGTATAGAATGTAATTTGTTCCATTTAAGTCCCCAGTGTTTCCTGGCTCACTTTCTTCTCCCTCCAACCTGTTCCTCTATCTCTACTTTTCTTCCATCTACTTATTTATACTTATTTATTGTTTTTTTTAAATTGGTGTTTTATAGAAACACATAAAGTGGAATTCACTGCAGTGTATTCATATCTGTACACAGCATAATTTGGTCAATTCATTCCTTAGTTTCTCCCTTTTTGCATCCCTCTTCCTTCTCCCTTTATTGTCTTGCTCTACTCCACTGATTTTTTTCTGGATATTAATCTGCTATCAAAGGAGTAGCTGGCAAAGATTTTTTTCTCCCATTTTGTGGGCACTTTATGATCTTATTTCCTGTGCTCTACAAAATCTTTTAAATTAGATGCTGTCCTATTTACTGACTCTTGATCTTATTTCTTGAGCTTTAGGGACCTTGATAGGAAGTCAGAACCTGCACCAATATGTTTTATGGATGATCCTATGTTTTCTTGTAGAAGTTATAGTTCCTGGTCTAATTCCTAGGTTTTTAATCCACATTTTTTGCAGAGTAAAAGTTATGAATCTAGTTTTATTCTTCCATGTATGCATATGCAGTTTCCTAGCACCATTTGCCAAAAAGGCTACTTTCCCCCGACATATATTTTTAGCACCTTTGTCAAGAAGGATGACCGTGTCTATGTGGGTTTTTCTTTGTGTCTTCTATTTCATTAATTTGGTCTTCACATCTATATTAATACCAATACCATGCTGTTTTTGTTACTATAGCTCTATAGTATAATTTGAGATCAGTATTGTGATGCTTCCAATGTTGCTCTTTTTGCCCAGTACAGCATTGGCCATTCTGGCTCTTTTATTTTTCCAAATTAACTTTAAGATATTTTTTTCTAGTTCTGTGAAGAATGCTTTCAGTTTTTCTCCATTCAGTATGATGTTGGCCTTGGGTTTGTCATATATAACCCTCACAACATAGAGGTAAGTTCCTTCTATCCCTAGTTTCTCTAGTGTTTTAAAAATGAATGGGTGCCGGACTTAGTCAACAGCTTTTTCTGTATTTAGGGATTCTCATCCTTAAATTTATTTATGTGGTAAGTTACATTTATTGATTTGCATATATTAAAACAACTTTGAATCTCTGGTTTGAAACCCAGCTGATCATAGTGCACTATTTTCTTAATGTGTTTTTAAATGTAGTTTGCTAATATTTTATTAAAAAATTTTACACCTATGTTCATTAGGGATATTGGTTTGTAGTTTTCTTTCCTTGATGTGTCTTTGTCTGATTTGGGTGCCAGAGTGATACTGGCTTCATAGGATAAATTTTGGAGTCTTCCCTTATTTTCTATTTCATGGGATAATTTGAGGAAGATTGTTGTTTAGTTCTTTAGAGGCCGGGTTAAACTTGACTGAGAACTCCTGGTTGTGATCGTGAGCTTTTATTTGCTGGAATGCTTTTAATTGCTGCTTTAATCTTATTGATATTAGTCTGTTTAGGTTTTATATACCCTCATGGCTCAATTTGTGTAGTTCTTATTTGTAGAAATTAATCAATATCTTCTAGGTTTTCTAGTGTGTTTCAGTACAATTTTTCAAAATAGTTTCTAATGATCCTTTGGATTTCAGAAATGTCTGGGATGATATTTCCTTTTTCATCCCTAATTTTGTTTATGTGGGTATGTGGGGATGTGTATGTCTGTCTGTCTGTCTCTCTCTCTCTCTCTCTCGGTTAGTTTGGCTGAGCATTATCAATCTTGTTTCAAAGAACCAAGTCTTTGTTGCATTGATCCTTTGTATTGTTTTTCTAGTCTCAATTTCATTAGTTTAGATTCATGTCATCTTAATTATTTCCTGTCTTCTACTGAAGCAGTTTGTTCTTCCTTTTAATCATTGAAGTATTATTGAAGTGCTTTAAGGATCAAGTCACATTCAATCAACATGAGAGAATTAAAAAGGAACCTTCTTCTTGCAAGGTCAAAAAATCAATTACTGATAAAACTCATATGTTTTATATTTTTAGTGTTCTGTTGAGAGAAGTTCTTTAGTAAGCATGTAAAATAATACTAATAGCAATGACAAAAATCATAAGAGCAGTTTTCATATAGTAAGAAATACTTTATGATGGGCATTGTTAAAATTCTGTGCATGTTAAGAAAGTTAACTTAATTATCACAATCACCCTCTGAAATATGTGCTGTAATTATCCTCATTTATAGATGAGAAAACTATAGCAGAGTTAGGAAATGATGAAACAAGTATGAAGAGGTTAAGTTAGACATAGCACATAGGACTACACTTAAATATTTTTGTTTCCTATAGAAAAAAAAGGTATTTGAATATCCATAAAATACTCAACTTGTGATAATTGTCATTCACCTAATATTATTGGCATTTCATCTAGAACATGTATTGCTAGCAATCTAAAGTTTAAGTCAGGTGAATCCAACGTATCATACAGGACAAACCATTATACTTGTGAATAAGATCGTAGCTCTAATTTATCCTATATTATTAGCTATATTGACCTTTCTAACCCAATAATATTTTTCTATTACTAAGGTAAAAGTGTTCAAATGTGCAACATATGTGAAGTTACTTTCTAAACTCTAAAATGTTAAGCAATTGTTAGTAGCATTCATTTTTATCTTTCTCATCTCATCCACACATATATTTATAGTACTTTCAGCATCTATAAATTTCTGCAAATAAAATATGCTAATGATAGACTCATTTAGTCACTTATTCAACAACTATACATGAATAACTTTAATATTCAACAAAATCTAGGGGAACCTGAACAAGTCTACAATATGGAAAAATTTAGAGGAAGCTAAATAGATATAACAAAGCTCACTATCAAGCCATGGGAGAAGGATGGAACAAACTAGGCAGAGTCCAGAATATATGAAGTTCCTGGAGGGAGAATGAACTGAGAAATGTTAAGAAATACTATGTTTGGAACATTGTCATCAGGGAATAGGAGAATTATAATTTTTCCTAAGAAATACAATATACTGTGAATAGTAGAGTAAATAGGAGAAAAGTCTACAATATAGATGATGTGTTGGATGAGTTGAAGGCTGGCTCTTAACAAATCTTGAAAATCATCCATCTAGAAATAAAGCTGTCCTTTCAAGAGTTTTCCTGGGCTGAGGGATCCCTTCAAGAAGTAGTAGCATGTGAATACATAACCAACAACATTTAAACCAATCGAAGACAAAGGATTGTTTTGAAACCTAGAGGACGGCATGCAGTCATTGTACCTAAAAATTTCCTCAGTGGCAGAATTTATTTTACTTTACTTTATGAATAAAAAAAAATTGCCAAGGACAATATTGCTTGAGTAAATGACATGATCCAACATCATAAAATGTGATGAAGATGTACAAATCTATAATTGTAAAATTTGTTTTGTAAACCTAGGAATGTGAAAGATTTTGCTTTGGGCTTAAGACTACAATGAAAGAATTATGAATTACCTTCATTTGTGATTAACTTGGAATAAATGTGAAAATCCTAACCTGGAATTTAATAACCTAATGAAGGTTAGATTTTTTTCCCATCTGACTGTGAGTATTCCAAAGATTATTACTAACCTTTCAAAGTTAGAAAGACAACTACAGTATGTCTCCAAATAAAAGGCAAATGAGATATATTCTTGATTGAGGGTTTAGAAATAGTTTCACAGCCTGAAAGATTGGCTTTTATTGGGTTCAAACAGATCTTTGTACACCAGTGAATTATTATATAAATATAAAAATGTCATATGTCAATGAGTGAGATATCACAGCCAACTGTAGCAACATCCAGATAAATCACTAAATGGATTTCTTTATTCCTTGCACCTTATTTTGAAGGGAGTTAACCTTTGGCAAAAACCACCTGCTTAAGAGACAATGAATAAGGAGGCCAAAGAAGTCATCAGTTGACCTTTGAGAGAACAAGAAGAGCTGAGGGAAGGTACATGTACAAGAGGATTAGTAAGTCCTCACCATGAATTTGCATCATTCTGTGGTATAGATGGTGATATTGTGTGGAGTTGGGTCTAAGCCCAGTGAAGAACAAGGTGTCAATTGTTATGTATCCATGGTCATTATAAATGAATACAACCTGTGAGTTACTGATTTCAGAAGTGTAGCTGTAAATTCACCAAATTAATATTTTTTAAAAAGCCATAAGAAAAATATTCTTCCTTTTGTCTCTTTCACTCATTTACTTACCCAATATTGTCATACTCCAACCATGGATGTCCTCAATTTTCTTCATGTATTTGCTTCAATTATTGCCTTCAATGGGAATGTAAATCAGCCTCATCTCCATTGTTCCATGTCCATTATTTCCTTCAAAGTCAGTTCAAAATATATTACATTCATGAAGCTCGTCTGACCATCTTAACCAACTGTTTGTTTATAGTTCATGAATTTCAAATAAATATTTTTTATTCATAAACTCAATATGCATTCAGGAAAAGTATTAAGAACTGGAAATAAATGTACATAAAAACAAATGGGTCCAAGGGTCAAGAATATTAATGTTTAGAAGGGAAATATACATAAGATAAACAGCCATATTCAGGAAATTATTGAGGTAGAAATGTGTACCAAAAAGTCACGAGCATAGAAAAAAAGCACTCAAATATTCCTAAGAAACTAAGTAAGACTATCATGAAAAAATATTAATTATATTATAAACAATATGTAGGAGTTTAGAAGGAATAAAATAGGGAAAAGAGAGTGATCCATGGAGCAGGAAAAACAGTGAGGAGGCATGGATGAGAAACTGGGAGGGGTTGGACCATAGGATCTCTGTGGGGAGAATATAGAGCATGAAGCATTTTCTTAATCCAGAAAGGAGAGTTATTTTCAAGGATCATGATCAAAATATTTATAACCAGTACAACACAAGACTTATGGTTAGAATATTTACTTATGATTAGAATATTTAAGTCATAGCACTGGAGTTACGTTAAAGAGGGAACAGCTGCACCAAGTTTAGAATTTTCTCCAGTTGAGGGGAAGTCCACGTGGGCCTTGAAGGCAGGAATCCAGGGTTCTAAAGCAGAGCAAAAGGAATTACAGGAGTAAGAACAGTGGAAATTTGAGAACTGATATTTTTAACTAATGATGCATAATATTAATATGAATAATAAAATATAAAATGTGATAGACAAAGGAGCTGGATAGAGGAAAATAAGAACATAGTGTCACTGACTGAAAGTATGAAGAAAGCTTTTTCTAGTGCTCTCAGGCAGTCTCAAAGTTTTAAATAACTTTGGAGATCTCCTGCAAACTCTTCATTGCTATAGTCTAATGTTCACTATCTTAACATGAAATTCCAATTAAGATGACTAGGAGTTAATTAGATCTAACAAGGATGTGATAGGGATAAAAAGGAAAAGATCTTTTCAGGAAAAAGTGACTGGGCAAAGGCTCTCCAGTTAGGATTCGCATTATTTAATATAAACAAAGGGAATTATCCCTTGGAAAAAATATTAATCTCCGGAAAATTTGCCTTTGATGAATAATTTTTCCTTTAAGGAAAATATTAAATATTTGTAAATATTACTGTAAATGGAAAAGTTTCTTGTTTATAACATTTTTCAGAGGAGTGTATGTTATTTGATTTTAAACAGTTTTTATAAAACACCAGTTTTCAAACATTTTTTTCTTTGACAATAATTTAGGCAATTAGTTATTTTCTTTATTGGTAAATGACTTAACTAGTTAAAGTCAAAGGACAAGCATAGATATTAAACCAACAGTTTGTACCATCCCCCATTCAATGTATCTTTGCCATTCACACTACATGGCTACTGCCAATGGAATTTTAACAGTCTTTCTGTCTCACAGGAATTTCAAAAGTAAGGAATTTGCAGTTTCAATAAGTTAATGTGTGAGTTACTGTACAGGCCCACTTAGATTTTCTGAGATTTCCTAACAACTCATTATTAAAGACATTTTCTATTTTAAGTTTTTTTT